TTGATTTTAAAATCTCAAAGGGGCTGTTCACAAATTACGTAACGCAAGGGGAAGAGGAGGAGGATCGGATAAAGTGTTGCGATTTGTTACGGGGAGAGGTGGCACGAATGTGACGTAGCAGGTTTTTTTCATAATATATAAATAAATTATGCGACTGGAATTTCTTATTAGAAGGGTAATTGCTTAGTAAGAAATGTCTCGCACGACACCAAGAGCCAACACTATTACCCAACCGCATCCACCACCCTTACTAACATTAGAGTGGGCATTGGGAGCTTGCGAACGTCTGTTGACCTCCCTCTCAGTGGCATTGAAGTTTGATAAAATCTTCATTACTTCCACCCAGTCTATCCGGATGGTACTTCAAGCAGAGCCCGTGGCATGCCTCGTTGAGCTCGGAATTGGACGCACTCCGATGGACCCCGAGAAAATTATACGACTTCTCCAGGGCTTCGGTCTTCGGGATGTCGAAAATCTCCTGCGTCAACGAGTCGATCAGCGCGTTCGCGGCCAATGCAGACACCGTGCTGCCGAGGAAGCCACCCACCAGCGTTCCCACCGGACCGAATAGAGACCCCACGGCGGCTCCTCCGAATCCTCCGGCCACGCCAGCGCCGATCGTCACGGCGGCATCGACGATGTTCTTGGCGCACCTCTTCCCCGAAATTTCCCCCTTCCACCAACGGCGGAGGCTATCGATCGCGTCCCATGTCAATTGAAGTCCTGCCAATGCGACCTTCCCGACGGGGCCCCTGAGTATCGTGGCCAAACTACGCCCACCAGTATTTGCTACAGCCATTTATCTGGCTTTATTTCAACTCTATAGACATTAACATTGTAAATATTTTCGGTTAATCGAATTTCATCTCCTGAAATGAAATTCCCGCGGCATGAAAGATTTGACGTTGTCGGTCTGCTAAAATTGCACCTGCACGCTCTCCTCTCCTTCACTGCGCATGCGCCACTCACGTCGGAGTCGAATCGATAACTTCTAGTCAACCCTCGAATTCCCGTCTCTTCGCATTTTACTACGGACTCTTTCCAGTCTGACTGACGCTAATTCTAACCATGGTCTAGAAGGGTTATAAATCTGAAACTTGGTACACATGTACCTTTTGGGGTGCAGAGTTCAGAAAAAAATCCCACTTTGGAGGTACATGCCCTGGGGGTACAAATTTTTGGGGGAAACGTTTTTCTAAAATATATATTGTGACATATGAGGATGGCATTCAGAGAGACAACTGTATGTGCTGGGTTCGGTGGTGTAGTAGTATTATCTCTAAATGGCAATCAGAAGGTCCGGGTTCATTTCCCGGCCATTCCTTGGCCCTCAATTCCTTCAATGTCAGTTTTAATAAATGATCTTGTGATGACATTGACTGATAAGATAACGTGTCATTTGCTTAACTCTCAATAAACATTGATGCTATTTACCATTTAATATTACTGAGGAAGATGGAAACTATGGAGTAAGGGGAAACGTACATAGAAAGTTTGTAAATACTTGATGAACAGGCTTTGGAACAGTGGTTTGTAAGCACTGATGGTAATAAGCATCAGTGCTTTGTAAGCACTGATGGTAATAAGCATCAGTGCTTTGTAAGCACTGATGGTAATAAGCATCAGTGCTTACAAAGTGGTCCATTAACAACTGAGGGTGGGGCACCTTAGGGTTCGGTGTAGCACCAAGAAAGAAAAGAATGAAGAACGGAACTGCAAGGATATATTACATCATATAATTTATTACATCCTACCAAGAATGTGAAACCTATGCTATTATAAATTGGTATGAATCCCCAGTGTCTCTTGTGCTACAACACCAAGACAAAGACCTTTTGGAGGGTGCGGTCGAGAGAAAATTGCTTCTGTAAAAATCAAACTGTCAAAGAATTTACATGCGCCTTATTCAGTGCTAGCTGCTGTTAGATTTAATCTTGTATGAAACAGTCTGCTGATAAACCCTCAGTCTCGGAAACATAAATATTATTTTCCATTCACTATTGCAGCCAAAGTAGGAAAGAGAGTTTTTCTTCCACGCCCAAATTTAAAAGCAGTACGTTGTGAGGAATTGCGGGGAAATTCACACGAAGCAAGGATATGTTATGAGTTGTGAATAAATTTACTGGAACGTTACACTAAAAGCTGCATTTTCTGGTCCCTCGTTTCATCCAATTGATGGAACTGACAACTGCAGTACTAGGCAAGGTACACATCTGCCACTCCCATCACTAATTTTCCGGAAAGAGCAAAGGTATGACGCAGATGATTCACACGACTGTCATTCGTGTTTTCATGAAAATCAACGCAAATTTTGAGAGAAGGGAGGAGAGATCTCTCGTTTGGGAAAGGGGATAGGCCTATTTGTTCGAGTTTCCCCCTCGTTGTCCCATGAAAATCTGTTAACATTCGTGGCAGTTGGGATGCTGAGAATGGAAGGACTGACCGCGCTTGGATTACAACCTGACGCCTCGTGGAGCTACCGTCACTACCTGATGCTCCGCTTCGACGTGCCTCGCTCGCAGGAAGGAATGAGAGCCATCTAGGTGCAAGAGTGTGCAGGACTCAGATTGCACGAGTCGGTTGCAAGAGCGTACGGGACTCAGGGGCGCGTCCTTTTTACTAGCGGCTGAGCTAGCTGTTTGCTCCATAATGACGTCATTTAATAACGTAGTCGTGCCTAGCCAACGCGTCTTTTTCGCCTGCAGCTACTAGCGGCTGGAGTAACAGACTTAGCCACTCGTTACTTGCAGGCCTCCAGAATAGCACACTATACTCTAGATGGGGCATCACCAGGGCTGCATCGAACGGAAGAATAACGTGCAATCTCTTTTCGTTGTCTCGATCTAAGACTTGCACACGTCTAGATTGGTTCTTGGTCTGGAAGCCTTCACCGATTACCCTCGGCAAGTCCGCTTCTGATCTATGCGCGCATAAAATTTTGTTTTTCTTTAATGAGCACTCATTATTTGCTTACTTTACAAAAGTCAACTCCAACGTGAACGAAACTTAAAGTTGGATCTGAAGAAGAATGAAAGCATGCGTTGTACTTCGGAAATCTAAGAATGGAATGCGTACCTTGCAAGAACGGATGACCACGAAGAAGGCACGGAACGTTCCGGTTTCCACACAGGCTCACGAAGGCAGAGAGGAGGAAAAACGAGGAAAAACTGGGACCAGTGCTTCGGGAGTGTCAGCGTCCCCTCTTCTCTTAGAAGAGGGTCGGTCGAGTCTTGCAAATGCATTGCACGGCGTGACTTAACCCTCTCCGAGTGGATTCCACGCAGCCGCGCGTAGGACACCAGTCGTCAGAAGGAAGAAAATTCCAAATTGCAAATGCAAAATTCAACGGTGGACCGCGGAGGGCTGCCTCGGTTCTCTCTCCACTTCGAAAACGTTTCGATTGACGAAAATTTCTGCCTGAACAAGATTTATAGATCAGTCTTCCTTAGTCATAGGTTTTTTTTTTTCCTGGCTTTTGACCATATTTAAGTGAGATGAACGCACGCAAAGGATATGAGGCCGCATCTCCACAAGACAAGCTTAACGAAAAATCACTCTGACGAGATTTCTGTCTAGATTTCGTCCGAACCGGTGCACAGTGGTACAAAAGTCGGAAATTCTTGGACAAAATTCATATTTTGAAAATGAAGAAAAAATATTTTGTCGCAAAAAGTTCCGGGCTGAAGCTGGGCGCAGGAGATTAGGGGCTAATTTTATTCTTCACTAATACTCATTGGCCTATAAGGAATTTCGTGAGAAATCTTGAGAAGTATTTCAAATTCATTCGATGAATTTACCTTGTCATTAGAAGTAGTTCATCAATCGACCAGGCAGAATCTAATAAATAACATGAGTTATGCATATACATTAGGAGTAATGTACATACAATAAGCAAGACCTTCAGATCTTTTCTATAGATATTTTATAATATATATATATATATATTTTTTACCTATTAAAAAAAAACATAATAGCTTTAAAATCATATTAACATACCTTGTACCTTAATGGCCATTTAAACAAATATTGGAATTTTTTTTCCCCCAAGGCTTTCACATATAATGCAGTAAATGATTAAAAAATAAATAATAATTAACCTTGAAATTGTTACAGCTTGCATTCATGTGAGAACCCATTTGAGGATGCTAAGAAATGTAACAAAATAAAAGAAAAAAAATACCAACAAAATCAATCAAGACGTCCACATCATTGATGACGTCTTCACATGCTTCACCCAATATCACACTTGACTAAGCAAATTGACAAATTGCGCAAAAGGTAGCAAATAAAGCTAGGAAACACAGGAGCAATATTGAGATGGCTAAACACAGATGTCGAAGATTTAAGAGACATCTTATGACATGACTAATGTTCACATAAAAAACCAGACTAACAATGATGGATAAGGAATGATATGGAATGCCAAATGATTTAAAAACCATGACATGAAAATGCATCACTTGATCACAGGGATGGAGGGCTTCGGAGACTCAAAACCAGATTTCAATGCTTTAAGTGTTTCACAACAAACGAAGAAAAAGAGAGAACTCAGAGGGGTTCCAAGGGGGAAGTGATGCATAGAAAAAGTGAAAATAAATTTTCTGTTGGTGGCTCCATGTTGGGTGTGTTCACAATGAATAACTGAATCAGAAAAAAAGCCACTTTTCTAATAATATCTTGCAAGGGTTTCAACTTTGTAGTTGACATAGTTAACCCTCCAGAATTTCTCAATTTTGGTAACAAATTTTGTGCCCACCCAGTGTCTTGCAAATTACATACTCATTGCCTTCCCAAGTCACAGATCCAATTCAAGCAAAAGAATAAAGGATAATAGTTGAAATGAGGCTTCTGCACAAAATCCCTGTAAATGCTACACAAGGAAAAATACAATAGAAATATTTTAAAACTTTTCCTAAAATATGAGTAATACCAAGAACTGAATGAGAAAAGCTAGCCTTGATAGCAGTAGATGTGAAAGCACCTCCTTGAAAATCATGTTTTCCTTTCAAACATTTTATTCACACAGTTTCAAGATATTACAAACCAGCACTTAAAACTATTCCAAATATCCCCCGGTTTCTGAGGTTGTGCACAGGATATAACTTATTCTTGTTCAAAACAATAGCAGAATATTGGCACTATGGCCTAGTAGCAACAGAACCATGTTTCATCATCACATGGTATATCTTCAACTCGTTCGTGTGAAATGTTTCACCGCAATGGGGACATTGAAAAGGATTCTTGTGCAAGTGGGCCCGCTGATGCCTTCCAACAGTTTCCTTGTTTGTAGATAAAAATGGGCAGTATTGGCAAAAGAAGGCCCTGATGTCTCGGCCACCTTGTGTTCCAGACCATACTCCATCTTCTGATCTTTCCAAACTCTGACAGAAATAGAGAAATATAGCATACCTTCACTAACGGTCACACACTGAGTCTTCCTCATGTGTCACAGCAAGACAAGTGAACTCTCCCCTCATCATTCTAATTTTACTTTCAGTTCATACAAGAGGTGATCAGATACTTATTGGACAGCTTCTGTAACTTCAAATAATTTGAGGTACAGATGTCACATCTTTTAAGTATATTGTGTTGTATCTTGGGAAATGCATGAGCAACAATTTTTGTTTCTTGGTTTTATTTTACTTATTACAATTTTTACATGACCACTGATCTACTAGGTAAAAAAAAAGGGAAATATGATGAAGCCCAACAGGAAATTTGGAGGAGAGTCATAAAATGTTAAATGGAACTAGATACATGAACTTACGTCTTGAAGTCAGAATTATGCTTGAAGCATTGATGCATTAATTTTCCTTCTGGGTTTGGACCATCAGCAATGAATATAAAGACTCACTAATTCACAGGAAATTTACTTAGTTTGGAACTCTGAGCTGGAAAATTGTCTCCAAATTTGCCAAATCAGAGAGAAAAAATCTTAATATTCCTGGATTACCTATTTCAGTTAAAGAAACTATCAAAAATGCAACAATGACTCAAAAGGAAGGTGATTTTTAATTCCAAGAAATTATTAATTCAATTCATTTCAAGCCAAAGCAAGAAAAAAGACTGCTGAGTAAAACCAAACAAAATTTGAGATTGGCATGAACTTCCAGCAGGTTAGAACAAGTTATTTCAAGATTCAACTTTCCACATATTGTCCAAATTAGGGAACTTCCTTTTCAAGCTTTAACATGCCCAGTTACAAGAAGCAAAGTATTATCAGATATTGTGGGCAATGGTGAATTCTGCACCACCTATAAGAATCAACATTTAGGGGCTGACCCCAAGGTAGATTTTATAATTCTCCACCACCACCCCCTTTCCCATCCAACCCTGGTAACTAAAGTAACAGCATTTAGTCACAATGGAAATGAAATAGGAAAAGGAAAGGAAAAAAAATCATGGAGAGTAATGCAGTAACCCAATTAAAATATTATTACGGTTAGCTTGCAAAGTGGAGTTCATGTTTTCCTCATACATTCCTCTGATCACCAGAGCCAGTGTTTGCTTCTCATAGTTTGGTTTAACAAATGAATTTGCCATTGCATATCATTGAAAAGTCACCCTTATCAAGCTTTCCTGTGGTATGCTCCCACCCACTATGAATTCTCAAGTTATGTATCCTGGGTTGGTAGACATGAGAAAAGAACAAGGCAAGTCTGGTTAGTCCTTTTGTATCAAGTAACCCTGATAAACCCTACAAATAATTTGCGAAGTACATGGGAAGACTGCTTGAACCATACCACATACCATAAATGACATTATCAAAAGAAACAATTTCATACAAATTTAGCATCTTCCTGAAGCACAGGCAGAATGTGATAACCTCTAGGCTGATTTGAGAACTAATAGCACCACAGAAACTTTTGATATGAGTCTGTCATAATTCCGAATGGGGAAAGTCAGTCTCTCTTTTTAAATAAGATAATAATCTTATTTTTAAATAAGTACAAAATCAAGCAAGAGACCCTAGCATTCTGATGTGCTACTTGGAAAAACTGATGCAATCAAGGATAAGGAACAAATGACATTTAAAAAAAAACTCACCCCTGAATCAATATAGGAAGGGATGTGGACTGGAACTGTTTTTGGGTCAACTTTTTCTCTCCTTTTTGCAGTAGAACCAGAGCCATAATAACCCCGAGCAAATGCCATTTCTCGTGCCATTTCTTCTAATGTAACCCAATCAGATGGCAGTCCTACCTGAAAAGGCCAAGTGTAGTCATGAATTTAAATTAGAGTGCCACACTCTGAATACATAACAAGGAGTGCTTACATCCACAACTTGGAGTACTTCATTTTCCGAAACTTCAAGCTTGACCAATGGTTCTATCAAGCCCCTGTCTTTGAAAGGTACCTTGAAATCAAATGGACCCAAAACATGATCAATTTCAGCTTTATTGCAGTAATCACCATGATGATAATAAAGAATTGCCACCATCCCATACTTACCTGACTTGCACCATCAGAAGTGACTGATTTTGGCTTAGGTTTTCTTCTCTTGGTTGAAGACACAAGACCAGTAGGCTTTTTTTGTGTTTTGAGTCTCTTCTCTCTACATTCTCTGGCAGGAAGCTTTCGTTTAGCTGGACAAGGGCAAGGAGAAGCAGAAGTAGAAGCAACAACTTCTTCTAGAGTATCCAGACGTTCAAGTTTGACATATGGATTAAGATTGGTTGTGCTTGGCTTGCTAGATCCAGCTGATACCTCAGATGTCTCAGGTAATCTGAATGAGTCAGAACTATTGGGTCTGTCTCCAGATGAGTCAATGCCACCTGGTCTGACTCTGGGTGAGTCTGTGCCATTGGGTCCATCTCTGGGTGAGTCTGTGGAATTTGGTATGTCTCCAGATGCATCAGCACCAATGGGTCTGTCTTCAGAAGAGTTGGTGCCATTCAGCCTGTCTCCAGACAAGTCAGCGCCACTGGGTTGGTCTCTGGAAGAGTCCACATCATTGGGTCTATCTCCAGATGAATCGGTGCCATTGGGTTTGCCCCAGGTTACACCAGAGCCTTTGGATCTGTCCCTAGATGCATCAGAGCCTTTAGATCTGTCCCTAGATGCACCAGAGCCTTTAGATCTGTCCCTAGATGCACCAGAGCCATTAGGTTTGTCCTTGGAAGAGTTGGTATCAATGGATCTGTCTCTGGAAGAGTTGGCAGCATTGGGTCTGTCTTCAGATATGTCAGTGCCAGTGGGTTTGTCTCCAGATGCATCAGCACCAATGGGTCTGCCTTCAGATGAGTCAGCACCATTGGATCTATCTCCAGACGAGTTGGTGCCATTGGGTCTGTCCCTAGATGCACCAGAGCCATTGGGTTTGTCCTTGGAAGAGTTGGTAGCATTGGGTCTGTCTCTAGATGAGTCAATGCCACCCAGTCCAACTCTGGGTGACTCTGCGCCATTGGGTCCATCTCTGGGCAAGTCAGTTGAATTTGGTATGTCTCCAGATGTATCAGCAGCAATGGGTCTGTCCCTAGACGCACCAGAGCCTTTGGATCTGTCTTTAGATGCCCCAGAGCCTTTGGATCTGTCCCTAGATGCACCATAGCCTTTGGGCTTGTCCTTGGAAGAGTTGGTAGCATTGGGTCTGTCTCTAGATGAGTCAATGCCACCCAGTCCAACTCTGGGTGACTCTGCACCATTGGGTCTGTCCCTAGATGCACCAGAGCCTTTGGATCTGTCTTTAGATGCAGCAGAGCCTTTGGATCTGTCCCTAGATGCACCAGAGCCTTTGGATCTGTCCTTGGATTCATCAGAGTCATTGGATCTGTCTACATATGAATCAGAATTTTTGGTTCCTTTTTTCAGCCCCTTAACTTCAAGGCTTTCAGCAAGAGCAATGAATTGATCCAATTGATTGGTAGGTACTTCCACTTCACCCATGTATATGAAATCCAACAAAAGTTTAAGAAGCATCATGTCTACACCATGGAAATGAATGATGGGACTGGTGCTATTTTCACGCAGCAATAACTTTTGAAAAAGGAAGCTCCCCGAGCACAAGACCAATTTATGAGCCTTCATTGTCTGTCCTTCACATGAAAGAGTGATATCAACAAACATCTCCCTACTCCGTAATGTCTCAAAGTCTGCAAAGGTCTCAGCATGATGGGAGTTCCACTTCAAATTGTACTTCTTAGCCATTGTGTCACTCAACTGACAAGGCCTGAATCATAAACCTCTGAAATATAATTTGTCACAGCTTGGAAGAATCTATTAGTCAAAAAAGAAGACAACATTATCAAGTTTATTACAGTCAAACCGAAGCCTTAACCAATCCTTTTGTAAAGTACATAATCCTTTAACCTTCCCCAACTTAGGTCAAAGGTCTAAGCCTAATCAAAAAACTTCTCCTTTTGGGAAATTTATTATTTCGTAGGTAGGTAACAGTCAACACATTGGAGCTGTCATCTACAGAGTACATAATATAAAAGGCTAAGGCATCAACATATCTTCAATCCCATCAGACCTACTTTTTAATAAACTTTCACAATGCTGAGGATATGTTTTCTACCTTTCTTTGAACTCTTCACCCATTGCTCTAGTAGAATCTGATATAAGATGAATACTGTTTCATTCGTACCCCCGACCTTTCATGAGTGCTTCTATCAATTGCACACAGTGACATCTTCCACATAAGTGGGTTTCGTGGATCATCTTGTGAGGTGGTTCCCTTGAAAGTTCTTTTCTCCGTTCTGCACGACAGTGGCGGGGAGTTACGAACTCAATCCGAAAACAGGTGTATAACACGTGTAACTCAATTCATATACATGGCTCAAGAGTGAGTGATGTAGAGCTCTCCTCGGTCTATTTAGAGGTATCAGTCAGGTTTCAGAAGAACCTTAAATACAAAGGTGAACCGTTTAATGAACCACCATCTCCCTTTACAGGTTAGGCCTAGGATATCACAGCACAAGACGAAAGTTTCCACGTTTTCAACTGACCGGTGACACGTAAATGCGCCATAACTATCGTTTGCAAGCGCGAAATCAGTTGCAACCAATCCCGGCCCACTCTGACCATATCGTCTGCTACGAATGTGGTCCTCTTTTTTTTTTTTTTTTTATTTTTTTTTTTTTTTTTTTTTTCTTTTTTTTTTTTTTTTTTT